AAACCAACCAACATCTGCACTGAATCCCATATTCTGCAATGGCATTCTATCATAAAAATAAGAACTTCAAATGGTGTCTTTTTCCATCCACAGTATATTCTCAAACAAGTTAAAAAGAAATATGATGTCAAGTGGCAATGGTTTTTGTTTTGTTCTTTTTTATTTTGAAGTCTTGATAGGAACAATGAGGCTTGCGAATACTTCACAGGTAGATCTTCACTTGGTCCATTTTACATGATTTTGAGTAAGATTTAAGTTTAAAAAAAAGCTATTTTTGTGACTATATTCTTTAGCAAGAGGATTTACTGTTTTGATTAAGAGGGGAAACTAAACCTTAGTAAATAATAATATTATTAATAATTTTCAGTTCCTAGACATCTAAACAATTATTGGGTGTGCTAATAAAAAATAATGGTAGAATAAGTGGGTGATTGTTATATACCGCTTCTGAAAAAAATCTTAAAATGCCTAATTTACTATAAAACAATTAGTAGTATATGTTAAGTTCTACTGTTTTATACACAAAGGACATAGTACTTTTTTAGATGTTCATTTCAGTTAACCTTCAGGGAATGAAAAACCATAGATTTTTAAAGCACTATGATAAATGTTTGTGCCAAACTTGTATGAGCATGTAAGAATTAATTGCCAGCTGTCTACCTGCAAATGCAGAAATTGCTACAAAGATTAGCGTGTGGGTTTTTTTTTTTTAATGGCATCAAATTCAGTCGAAAATCTCCATGAAAATGTAACACTGTTCGTGTCACTCTCTTATTTGCAGGACTTAATTTTTACTGTCAGGATATAAGTTAGATAAGGCAAGCCTTAAGACTTATTTCTTCCTTGATGAATTCTTAACATTTATAATCTAGATATTTCTGTGTATGGTTAAAAATGCCTTTTAAATATACTCCATTAAAATGGTTATGTGAGTTAGTTCTAGGTTTGTTCCAGATGATATTCTTTTCTTTTAGGCGCTTCTATTAGAAAGATTATAGTAGTTATTTTGAAAATGGTGTGAAGATACATTTTGGCAGGATGTGTCTTGCCCAACCAGTGTATTGCATATGACTTCATCATTGTCAGAACTTCTTTGTTTTTTCTTCATTGACCAACTCACCTATGGTGGACAGTGTCCCTTAGTTCCCTGCCATCGCTCACAGGGGCTTTCTCTCGTTTCCGTGCAGCTCCTTTTCAGGATGTTTTTGTTAAAGGGTCTTTTCTTTCGACCAACACTTAAAATGTTGTTTCCTGGCATTGCTCAAGTATGTGATGATTCTATGTTCCTTCCTGATTGAAACCTCCTGGCTGTGCCTCGTATGCTGCAAAGGTGACAAACTCAGCTGCCTATATGAGCAATTAATGTAAATTAATGCAGATCTGGGTGTTTGTTTGTTTTTTAAGCAGCATCAGGATTTTAAAAAAATTATGCCTGGCTGGCATGGCTCAGTGGCTGAGCATCAACCTATGAACCAGCAGGTCATGGTTCGATTCCCACTCAGGGCACATGCCTGAATTGTGGGGCATGCAAGAGACAGCTGATCAATGATTCTCTCTCATCGTTGATGTTTCTATCTCTCTCTCCTTTTCCCTTCCTCTCTCAAATCAATAAAAACATTTAAAACAAAAATTAGAAAGAGCATGTCCCATCTACCGCTATTTCCCCTTGGTCCCAGCCTGAGTTGGTATGGAGGAACAGAGGCTCAGCTGTCATTCCTTCATTATCAGTGTTTACTATGTGCCAGGCATGTAGGTGTTAGGGATAAGACAGTAAATTAAACAAAGATAGCTCCTCTCCTGGAGCTGACACCAACTCTGGAGATTTGAGCCCTCATGGTCACACTAGGGTTAATGATATTTACTATTACCAGATTTTCAAATTTAACAAAGATCCAGATTTTTTTTAGTGAAATTCTACTTTTTAAAATGTTAACTTTATTTTAAAGAAACAAACTCCCTGTTGAAATTGTGTTTGCCTGTTAGCAACACTAGCCTACAAAATATTTGAATATCTGACTCTGAAATACCTCCTCACCTACACTTATTTTTCCAGCTTGATCTCCATCTACTTCTTTGTTTTCCATCCTCTATTCACAACTGACCGTGCCTGGCCCCTTCTTTCTTCTATTACATCTTATGTATTGTACTTCTTGCTGGAATGCACTTCCATTCTCCCCACCCCACCGTTTCCACCCCCTAGTCAATCAGTACTCACTGACAGCCCAAATGTTTCTTTGTAAGCTGACCCTAATCTCGCTGTATAGAATTACTCGTTCTCTGCCAGTATTCCACAGTATTTCCTACATTCTCTCATTAGAGCCCTCACCAAAATGTTTTATAGACCCTGAGCCCAAAGAAGCTATAATTTCATCTTTGTATCCTGAGAATCTAGCATAGCACTTTATACCCAGTCAGTGCTTCCTAAATGCTTGTAGGATGATTGGCCAGGCCTGACAGCTGGCTCTCTGCAAACCAGCAGTGGTGGTAACCTGCACCAGATAGGCGCACAACGGACAGATACTCTATCGGTAGAGGCTTTGTTTCACAAGTAAGCAATCTTGATGTAAAAATTATCATTTGATTTAAAATGGTAGTTATCAACTTCTGTATCAGATATAGCTGCAATAACTACTTAGGTCTTTGTACCCAACTCTTCTTACCCCTGACCCCAACCTCCCTGGTCCCATCACACACATACACCAAAATTCCTGGAATGGCTATATTGGCTGCTAGTGCATATGTAATTTATAAGCCCAGACTTGTCACTTGACATAGCAGAAATAACCTCTTCCCTTTGTACTCTAGTTTTCTTATTTATTGCTTTCAAACTACCAAGGTATATTAAAAGGTAGGTGTGGGGTGGGGGGCAGCAATGCAGGATAGACATGAGGAGCAAACTTTATTGAGAGGCAACTGAGTGGCAACAATGTTTGAGGCACTGCACGTGTATTGTCTCATTATTCCTTTTTAAAAAATATTCCAGTGAGTTAGGTAGAATTATCCTCAATTTCAGGATGAAGAAAATGATGCTGAAACAGGTGAAGCTACACGCCATAAGAGAATTCTGGATACTTATTTTGGACAAAGATTTATAAGTATTATTAATTCATTATATACATTGTCCTTTTTCAACAGTTTTCTTCTTCTGTAAATTCAATACTGCACAAAATATATTATTTTTACTTGTATGGTAGCTACTGAATTTAGTCTTTTGAAACAAATTACAAATAGGTTTTCAGACATGTCAGACTTCCCTTTTAACGGAAGTTTTGTAATGTCCTGTTTAGTATTCTGAAGTGCAATTTATATAAGCAATTACCTATTTATCCTCTGTTGGGCCACTTACAGAAGGCAACCAATTAATGTCTCTCTTTCATATCGATGTTTCTCTCATTCTCTCTCCCTTCCTTTCTCTCTCTAAAATCAATTAAAAAAATCCTCTGGTGAGAAAATATCTATCTATATCTATCTATATATCTAGATCTGTATATCTATATAAATATGGATATAGATATAGATACATATGAATATGGATAAATCTAATTATTTTAATTGTGATGTTGTAAGCAGTGTATCTGTTACTGATATGTTTTCCCAAAATAGTAAGTAACTATTGGTAAAGTTCCAAAGTATTGAAACCTTCTTCTACTTATTTGATAGTTGAATTTCTGGAAACTTGGCTTAAACTAAAACTGGAAAACATATTTATGTTTATACCTAAGATAATATTAGATTCTCTACTCAGATGAACAATAGCAGAAATGTCATCTAATGAATATCCAGTGAACTCCTTGAAAAGCGTGGAGGATGTGGGGCAAATACTCATTTTCAGGACTTCCCACTGGTGAGCATCCATGGACCTTGCCCACTACATTTCATATGCTCTCCTCACCCCCAATCATTGAAACAACCTAAAATGCCTTTAAAAATTCCTGAAACATTCTCTAAAAGGGCAATACTGCTCTCAATGATCACCACTGCTCCAAACCTTCTAAACCAAAGTTAGCATGTGTTTATTAAAAAATTGATCATTTCTTATGTTTAAGACTCTGTGTGTAATGCATTATAAAATAAAAGTATGTCAGTACTGATTCCTTTCTTCAAGGATTTAACAGCGTGAGAAAGAAGATGGATTACTTGCATATATATATATATTTAATATTGAAAATACTTTTTATCAAAAATAGGAAGATGACGGTGAGCTGAGAACACATAGAGAGGTCTCACAAAGACAGTACTGCACAAAATGAGATTTGAAAGATGTTGCTATAACAGTGATTTTCAACTGGTGTGCCACAAGAATTTTTAAAACATGCACTACCTGACTATTTAGTCAGGGGCACTGACCTCTTTTCCCTTAGACTGTCAAATAAAAAAATGACAACAACCAACATGACGATAGCTATCAGGTGTGAATGAATCAAGATTAGACCTTTTGTTTTCGTCAGATTGGAAAATTATATATTTTGGGTGTGCTCCAGAATTTTAGTAATCAGTTTGTGTATGCCATGAGATGAAAAGGTTTGAACATCGCTCGTCTATAATGAAGGTCCCATCACGTTGCATCACAGATGAGTAAAGGGAGCCAAGGAGCCTAACTAGCATGAATGAGTTACTGTCAGAAAGTAATGGGCAGTAACAGCAGGAACTAAGATTGGAGTAAGGCTGTCAGGTCCAAATGGAAATTAAATTGAATAATTCATGAATTGAATGTCAGAGATGCTTGCTTCATACAAAATATTTAAGGTTTGAGATGGCTATTTAGTGAATTTGAGTTCACTAATAGTAAAATGAGAGGGCTTAGAATAAGGGACTCATGTTTCTTTAGTTTGGAATGCATTTTCAGTGTGTCTCCTTTTTTGGGGAATATTTGATTGTATTTACCCAGTTAAATCTGGGACGAACTCATAGCTGTGGTCTGTAGGTTTACTGCACCCCAGACATGAATTGCCAAAATGACGGATCATGATGTTGAGTCTCTTCTGTCTTTCTCTTTGCAGGTATGATTTTGTAGAAGTTGAGGACCCCAGTGACGGGACTATATTAGGGCGCTGGTGTGGTTCTGGGACTGTGCCAGGAAAACAGATTTCTAAAGGAAATCAAATCAGGATAAGATTTGTATCTGATGAATATTTTCCTTCTGAACCGGGGTTCTGCATCCACTACAACATTGTCATGCCAGTAAGTACCACTTAGAGATCTGCTTATTTCATTAGCTCAGTTATTTGTTTGCGTTCTTTTTCCTTTTAAACTGGAGAATCGGGGAAAACAAAAACTTTTTCCGGCTTAATTTTTATTTTAATAAATGTCACTCTAGTTATCACAACTTGAATTTCATCACAGTAGATCATTAGCCATGTTAAATACGTTTTCAATAAATGAAATAAAATGTGTTTTGTACAGCACTTAGACAATTGTAACAAACCCATTACTACCTAATTCACTGTTTGGTATTTCAGTGGTGATGAGAAATTAGTAGGATAGATAGAATTTTCTCTTGAACAAAATAAGAAATTTAGTGTATTTATTATCCTTATCACTTAGGGATCACCATCAAAATTTGGATTATAGAAATTCTTCCTGAATTAATTTTAAATATGGTCATATTAAATAATAAAATATAATTTTAGTTTTCTAGCATTTTTGTGACTCTTTATTATATGACTAGAGGCCTGATGCACGAAATTCATGCAAGAGTAGGCCTTCCTTCCCCCGGCTGCCAGCACTGGCTTCCCTCTAGCACCCGGGACTTGGGCTTCCCTCTGGCAGGCTGGAAGGTTGTCCAGAAGGACGTCTGGTTTAATTAGCATATTACACTTTTATTATATTACTAGAGGCCAGGTGCATGGATTCATGCACTGATGGGGTCTCTCAGCCTGGCCTGTGCCCTCTCTCAATCCAGGGCCCCTCGGGGGATGTTGGACTGCTGGTTTCAGCCTGATCCTCACACTGGCAGTCCAACATCCCCCAAGGGATGTAGTAGTTTGTGAAGTGGCAGGCAGCCAGGGAGGAGCCCGAGCCTGGGCCAGGTACCACACCGCTCCTCCATTCATCCCAGCCCCATTGTGCCTGCTGCCACCGCTGGCTGCCACCACAGCTGAGCTCGCCAGCCAGTGAGTCCGGCTTCTGGCGCCCATCAGTCAGCTGAGCGGCGCTCCTGCTGTGGGAGCGCACTGACCACCAGGGGTCAGCTCCTGCATTGAGCGGCTGCCCCCTGGTGGTCAGTGTGCATTATAGCGACTGGTCAAACGGTTGACTGGTCGAATAGTCGACCAGTTGCTTAGGGTTTTATATATATAGATAGATAACCTTTTGCATTTTGCTAAATGCTACTCTTACCTTAAAGATGTGAAATTTCTGATGGCTCTAATTTTTAAATTCATATATATTTTTTGAAATGAATACATTGCAAAGTTAGAAAGCCAGCACTATCTGACATTAATGTCATTTTAATAAAATTATTTCTGAAATTACCTAAAAGTCCATCTCTTATGTGATATTTTACTAATTTTCTCCCATTAAAGCAGTGGTTCTCAACCTTGGCACATTAGAATCACCTGGGAATCTTTTTAAAATCCTGATTTCTGGGCTTCATCCTCCAGGCCCAGAAATCAGGATTTTAAAAAGATTCCCAGGTGATTCTAATGTGCATCCAAGGTTGAGAACCACCGCATTAAGGGGTCATATCCTTTTCTGCACCCACCAAAATTTATTTTTTAGTTGTATTTTTTACAAATATGTACATAACATACTTTTTATCATTTTATCTCTTAATAAGATAAACATTAAATATTAATTTTAAAAAATCAATGTTTTAGTAAAATAGATTTTTAAAAAGTATTTAGCTCAATTTTTCTACTTATCTTAATATTTATTCTGATTGAATAATATTTATGGCTTTTGTGCCACCTCCCTACCAAAAAAGATTTTGAAATTCTCATTGTAATTTAAGAAATCTATTTTTTCTGATTATAATTACTGTATTTTTAGTTGTATCATGATTGCTTTCACCCTTATTTTATGTATTATTTCAAACATTTGTATCTGCGTTCTGCACTGAAACAGAAATATTGAAAATCCTTGGATATTTTTATCGCATTCTCATAATAGTAAATCAGAAGTACTTATACAAATATGATGATGTCATCTAGTATAATTTTTAAATATGACCAATTACAGTGTGATAAATGCTAAGGTGGACGTGGTGGGTGGAGGTGGAAGAGGGCATAGAGGATATAAATGTTGATGGAAAAAATAAAACAAGTAAATATAAAATCCTATATAATTTATATCTTTAATGATTTTAGCTATTTAGTAAGTATATTGGGGACACAACATGGTGTTGGCTACATGAATTAGCATCTAGATTCTTGAATATAAACACTATGCATACAGCCAGGTAGCAATTCATGAGAATTCATGAGTCAAATCAGAAAATATGGAATTAATGCTTAACTTTATATATTATATTCACATTGTAATGTTAGCAGAAATTTTCCTTTTTGATTGCCCAAACTCAGGCCTGTGGAATATTATTTAACCAACATATTAAGAAATTTAAGTATTATTTAAGATACAGCCAAGAAAGCAACAATAAAATCCAAACTGAAGTTTGAAAATTGTAATTTATTCATGTACTAACAGTAGAATCATTTATTGTGTACAATTGAAGTTAAGGGAGATATCTCTAAAATATATGCTCTAAATTATATTGTGAATCTTGATCAATGTCATTATACAGATTATCCTATATAATAGAAAGCTAATATGCAAATTGACTGAACTGAGGAACAACTGGTCACTATGACGCACACCAGTTGCCACCAGGGGGCAGATGCTCAATGCAGGAGCTGACCCCTGGTGGTCAGTATGCTCCAACACGGGGAGCACCACTCAGCCAGAAGCCGGGTTCACAACTGGTGAGCTCAGTGGCGGTGGTGGGAGCCTCTCCTGCCTCTGTGGCAACGCTAAGGATGTCTGACTGACGTCTTAGGCCCGTTCCCCAGAGGAAGCGGGCCTAAGCCATCAGTTGGACATCCCCCAGGGCTCCCAGACTGCTAAAGGGTGCAGGCTGGAATGAGGGACCCACCCTGAGTGCATGAATTTCATGCACCAGGCCTCTAGTTTAAAGATAAAAACCCAGCCATTTTATAGAGCCTAGATGAGTTCTAGGCACAATAGAGGTTCTGAATCAGTGCTGGAATGCTAAGTTGATTATACAACTCACCCCAGCTTCACTAACAGAGACACTGTTTTTATCTGTAAGTGAATATCAGATTTATGAGCCTTGAGATGAGATAAAGAACCATAAGGGTCTATGGTAAGTAACACCCATCCTCGAGTAAGAAGGGCCCTGCCACTTGGTATTGACCTATTACCAGAGATTTGCTGTGACTAACACTAGAAACGGCCTGAATTTGAGAGACTTTAGGTGAAACATGTAGCACTGATTATGTCATTAAAATTAAATTCAGTACATATGTAAATAGTTATTGAAATCGCTTGATAAATTATAAATATGGAGTTTGGTGGGATGAGAATTGACATTCTCTTGGTATCTATGGAAACATGTTTGGCATAGCAACTAAGTTGACCTGTGATGGGCTGCAGAAAATAGAAATATGTGAAGAAATAGCATAAGGGACCTTATATAAATGTGCCTTATGCGTAGAAAAACAGAGAACATGATGGTAGGGTCCCACATTGCCTAATAAGTGTGACTTGGTGTTTTTAATTTTCCATATTGCTTTCTGGATTATTGACATATGAATTTTACAATTTCACAAGCTTTCATTCTTTTGGGTTTAAATTGATTTTGACAATTTCTTGGCCAATTCCTCACCTATCCTTTGTCTTGGTTCCCTATATCCCTCCCTCGTCCCACAGCTGCAGTCATTCTACAGTCAATAACTGCCCACAGAACGAGCAAGATTTGATGAGCAACAATTTGAAAAGTTATTTTGCTCTTAAGCCTTGCACAGAGTTTTGAGTTATCATTGTGTATTGCTAAATGATGGTCCTCCCTCCATCCGCTCCCCCCAACATTATTACTGGCAGGGCGGCAATCCATCAGTCTTATCTGCGTATCAATGAATGAAAGCCTAAGGGAAGAAAGTTTGCCTTTTGGAGAAGAGACTGAAAAGTTCTTGTGTCATTTGCTCAGGGGCAAGTGCCCCTTCAAGTCCCCTCCCTCCACCCATCATCTCTGATACTTTTTTTATGTGCCAACATGAGCGTCATACTTAGCACACCCAGATCCCCAGAGGCAATGGTCTCCATGCAAACCCACCACTAGGACCTTAGGAGCCACTGGCCACAGTGCTTTCTTACCTTGCTCATGATAAAAATGATATTAACTGCCCACCTTTATTGGACTATTAACTTCCTACTTTTAGGTTTGTTATGAAATGCCTAGCACAATGCCAGACACATTGCAGCAGCTCACTAATGTCTCATAGACATTCAGCTGTTTCCCCTAAGAGCTAACACAAGTGGTGCTGCACTAACTTCTCATTTACTCTGTTACCTTTGTAGCTGTTGCACAATAGTGATGATGCATAAACGAGAAAACTGAAGAATCACATATTCTCTTGGTCCTGATATATTAGGCTCTATTACCAAGAACACAATCTTGCTCTACTTAAAGAACTGAACTGTTTTTGTTTTATTTTGTTTTGATGAGGAGTGAAACATTCAGATATTAGGCTACTTAAAAAATTAAAGGCATACTTATGACATTATAACTATTAATGTGTATAATCATCTTTACCTGCGGTTATAATTAATTTAATAAATATTTTGCATCTATTTTTAGACACAGAAAAATGTTTGTGTTCAGTCACTTTTTTTCTGGGATAATTATGGAGAAAGTTGATTTTAATATTTCTTACATTTTACAAGTAAGGAGGATAACTCTGCAGCTTTCTTTGGAAGCATATATGGATATTTGATACTAGTCAACCTTTAAGGCTCCGTGGTTCTAATTACCGTACATTAGTTAAAATTCTCAGAAACAGTTATTGCCACACATGTTGCCATTAAAATTTATGTTCACCTTCATAAAAATGATTTACTAACTTCCCCCCCTCAACGAATGAATGAGAGAGAGCATATAGTTAAATATAGGATTATTTATTATTTTGAAAAAAGTGATGCCAATTTAATATTGAAAGATTGTTTAC